AATAACCTCACATTTTAAGTCACTCTGCCAATTTAAATGCAAAAGGTATATAAATATATATGTTTGATTATTTATTGCTTTAAATTATATAGCCACCCAGCCCTATTCAATGTTGTATCTAATATTGAGCCAATTATTTAAATTATATGCACTTCAATTCTTACCTCTGTTAAACGGTGATAATCACTGTACCTATCTCAAAAGATCTCTGTTGATTAAAGAGTTTATACATAAATAGTGCTTCAAACAGCACCTGGTACTAAAGAATCACTTGGTTAGCTCTTATTATTGGGCCACTATTTTCTGCTACTATCCAGATCACTTTCTTTCTAAATATCTCCATTCCAAAATCAGTTAAAAATTGAAGTTTTTTATGAAAAAATGTACAATTGATGCATTATAATTTATTTATAATTCACACCTTAATCTCAAATTTAATAGTCAATCTGGTATTCTACTTATCATTTTTATGATTAATTATCTAAGTTACTTAGATTGCCATCATTCTGCAGCAAAGCATTCAGGGAAAAAATATAAACACCTTGCCTTTTCTTGCAGAAAGAGAGGGGATGGTGGAAAATTATTACTATCTTTGTGGAGAATACCATGTCCAATTTAAAGGAGAATAAATTGGCAATACAAACATCACAACAAAATAATAATATCATATTTTAATTATTTATAAGAAAATATCCTTTTAAAATATGTCAAAGTAATAGTAGATAGAATTTCTTTTAATAGACCATTATGCCCCAGAATATATGCAAAGGATTTTATGTGTATGGTTTCTAATCCTTCAAATAAGCTTTGCCCTCAGAAATTATTGTTTTCATTTTATAGATGAGGAAACAAGTTCAGAAACGTTTTGTCATTTGGAAGGATGTAGAACACGGTTATTGTGGGTACAAACCTAATACTTGGACAGGCATGAGTTTCAATTATATATTCTTTCTCACTATCTACTAGTACTATGTAACTCTTCTCTGTCTCATTTTTATGGTATGGGAAATTCCTCATCATGTCCCTATGAGGATTGTATGTGATCATGTCCATAAGACCTTTAGTATATCACTGCACCCTTAGACATCATTCATACCTGGTTAACATTTTAGGATTACACTAATGCATCAATATTATGTAAATTTCTATTAAAGTACACATTTTTCTGACTTCAATGATCACCATCATTGATAACCATTTTCATTTACTCATAAAATATATGGAAATTAAACATTTTGATCAACCATTTCTTTTTCTAATTAATTTTTAGAGAGAAAAATAGGAAGAGAGAGAGAGAGAGAGAGAGAGAGAGAGAGAGAGAGAGAGACATTGATTTGTTGTTCCACTTATTTATGTATTGCTTCTTGTATGTGTCCTGATTAGAGATCAAACCCACAAACTTGGCATACCAGGGCCATGCTCTAACCAACTGAGTTACCCAGCCAGGACCTTTGCTCAGCCACTTCTTAATTAATATGTAATTATCCGGATATGAAAGTCATATACATGTATATCATCAGGCTGAATTGAGGAATCTATGAAACAAATACTATTACTCCTCTAGTGTTTCCCATCGCAAAATTGAACTGAAATATGTGTCAAGGTGATGGCATTGATTTTGTTCTCACATGGAGAGCAGGTGCCCACAGATTATTTTAGTTTGATGTTTTTCTTTCTAGAATAGAAATGGCTGGAGAAAGAGCTTTGATTGCAATTTTTGATGTGCTTGAGGCATTCTTTCATACTGTGGGTTGACCATAACCTACAGGAGATTAATGCATTATAAAACCAAATCAAGAATGACATTCTCATTTTCACACCAAAAGCATAGCAGCAATATTTATCATAAAAAAATGATTGATTTACACTGGACAGAGGCAATATACTTTTTTACACATGTGTACACATTCTTATATAAACATTCAAAGCTTTAATAGAATTATTTTCTAACATGTTCCAATGAAAAATATTCTTTAAAAGCAAAAACGAATAGGACTGTAACTATGTAATATTTTACATTGTTCTATTAATTGATGTGTTATGAAAATGTTCTTCAAGTGAATTTGTCAAAAATGAAGTTTCCAAGGAACCATTCCATCATCTGGAACACTGCCGTGTATTATGACTCTTGCTAAAATTACTTGGCATGTGACATACCCAAACCACTTTATTTATAGAAGCACACCACCATGATTCCTTCCATCAGTGACTTGAATTCAAAATACTCAAATGAGGATTGATGACTCAATAGTTTAGTTTTGTAAAATTCATGCATCATAAATGATAAGACACTTCCATGAAATAATCTGTTTCAGTCACAGATGCACCATCCTTTATAATAACATTTTACCTTTTGAACAATTCAAACGTTTTTCTACCAACATTGCTAAATGCTATACCTTCTTGTAAATACTGAACGTTGAAATGATACATAGAAATGAGTGATATTAGACTGTCTTTCCCT